ATCAAAAGACACTGTGGAACTGGGATGGGATAGTGATCTAAGGCGCTTTGCATGCCTGGACTCCTTTTGTTCTGCAGGTCTTAGCACACACATTTCCTCTGAGTGGTCTTTCCTGACCGCTGACCTAGAATATATCCTCCCCATGTTTCACTTCTTCTCCCATTACCCCCTTGATTTCCTCATGCCATTTGTGAAAATCTGAAATTACCATTGTTTTTATTCGTCTTCCCCCACTGAAATATCAGCTGCATAATAGCAGGGACCATGTCTTTATGTTCACTGCTGTATTCCCAGTGCCTAGTTCAGTACCTGGCACACAGCAGGCACCCAATAAACACATTCTGCTGTAATAATATTTTCTTATGATCTTTACTTCACTTCACTAATTTTCTCTTCAGCTGGCCCAATCTGATGTTAAATCTACCCACTGAGTTCCTAATTTTTTTTTTTTTTTTAGACGGAGTCTTGCTCTGTCGCCCGGGCTGGAGTGCAGTGGCCGAATCTCAGCTCACTGCAAGCTCCGCCTCCTGGGTTTACGCCATTCTCCTGCCTCAGCCTCCTGAGTAGCTGGGACTACAGGCACCTGCCACCTCGCCCGGCTAGTTTTTTGTATTTTTTTAGTAGAGACGGGGTTTCACCATGTTAGCCAGGATGGTCTCGATCTCCTGACCTCGTGATCCGCCCGTCTCGGCCTCCCAAAGTGCTGGGATTACAGGCTTGAGCCACCGCGCCCAGCCGAGTTCCTAATTTTTATTACCGTATTTTTCAGTTCTAGAATTTCCATTTGGTTCTTTACTATAATTTCTAGTTCTCAATCTTGTCCAGTCTCAATCTTATCCTGCTGCTCAGAGGGCAGAAGAGGAAAATGTCTTTGAGTAAAGCATAGTTATTTGAAAATTTGATTGATTATTCCATTATCTGGATCTTTTGTATAACTTTCTATTATCTGTTTCTGCTTTTGGGTCATGTTGTCTTCAGTTTCTTTGAGGGTTGGGCTGTTGTTTCCTGTTTACTCTCACTTCTCATGGTGGTCCAACCCAAAGCCTAGGTGGGGGGAGTTTGTCAGGGCTCCCCTTTCTTGGAGGATCTAGAACTACAGTTTTTCTCCCATACATTTGTAAGTATGTGAAGATGAGAAAGCTTGGCTCAGTTTCTCAGCTCTCTCCTCTGCAAGTGGCAAATACTTTTAGGAGAAAAGCAGCTCCAAATAAAGGGCTTGCTTCTCTCAGCCCCTTATTTCTTTTCTGCATCGGTAACTTTTCAGTACTGACTCTACTGTTGCTCCATAGTAAATATTTACTGGATGAATAAATGCAGGACTACTAGGCTCGAGGGTGGGAACAGATCTAGACACATTACACACACTCATTCTTCCAGCAGTCCCTGACACCTACTCTGTGCCATGTTCTGTGCTGTGCTGAATAAGAGAAGTGACAAAACCTAGTCCCAACCCACAAGGGACAGACCATATTCTTGGTAGTCACGATCTTTAGAACAGCGGTCAACAGAAAGGGCCCTTCGAACATTTAGGAACTCTGAGTTTCCTAGGGAAAGCAGAAAGTTTCCCTGGGGAAGGGGCTTCTAAGCTAAATATTGAAGAATAAAGAAGAGTTTGCAGTCTGGGCAACATAGCAAAACTCCATCCCCCAGCACCCCAAAAATTAGCTGGGCATGGTGACATGCACCTGTAGTCCCAGCTACTTAGGAGAATGAGGCGGGAGGATTGCTTGAGCCCAGGAGTTCGAGGTTACAGTGAGCTATGATTGCACCACTTGTACTCCAGCCTGGGTGACAACGGCAAGAACCTGTCTCGACAGGAAAAAAAAAAAGTTTGCCAGGTAAAATAATTGGAGAAGGGCTTTCCTTGCAGAGGAAATACACGGACTGTAAAAGATACTCCTCAGAGTGTCTGGAGGTGAAAATGAAGCTTCTGAGGTTTGCAAGAAAATGTTTCCAAATGAGAGTCTGGCATTTAATATCCTCGCATGCATCTCCAGCACGGGAAACTATAACACAGCTGGCCCCAGGCTCGTCCTGTCTGGCTCCCTCTTTGTAAGAGGGGAGAAGATTGCACAGTGTGATGGAGCTCATTTTCAGCAGAGTAATCTCAGACTTCAACATGGGTATCCTGTCTCCTGGGCTGGTGCCCTTCTGGCACGGGACACTTCCCTAGCTCTCATGAACCCTACAATCACTCACCCCCACAGGCACACCAAAGGCAGTTGAGAACTTGAGTCAAGGGTGAGGAGAGACCTCTGGGTGAAAAGGGCAGGGATGGGGAAAGAGGTTGATGGGTGGCTGGGGGCCCCTCCCTCTCCACTTCCTGGCTTTCTCTCATCAGCTTTGACTCTCAGTTCTTCTTTTCTTCTTTCTTTTTTTTTTTTTTTTGAGATTGAGTTTTTCTCTTGTCACTCAGGCTAGAGTGCAATGGCGCCATCTCGGCTCACTGCAACCTCCTTCTCTTAGGTTCAAGCGATTCTCCTGCCTCAGCCTCCTAAGTAGTTGGGATTGCAGGCATGCGCCAGCACACCTGGCTAATTTTTGTATTTTTAGTAGAGACGGGGTTTCACCATGTTGGCCAGGCTGGTCTTCAACTCCTGACCTCAGGTGATCCACCCACCTCAGCCGGCCCTTTTTTTTTTTTGAGACAGGGTCTTGCTCTGTCACCCAGGCTGGAGTGCAGTGGCACAATCATGGCTGGACCTCCCAGGCACAAGCAATCCTCCTGCCTCAACCCCCAAGTGGCTGAGGCTATAGGTTTGTGCCACTATGCCCAGCTAATTTTTGTATTTTTAGTAGAGACAGGGTTTCACTATGTTGGCCAGGTTGGTCTCGAACTCCTGACCTCATGATTCACCCACCTCGGCCTCCCAAATTGCCGGGATTACAGGCATGAGCCACCATGCCTGGCCTA